CGGTGACCAAATCGTAAAAATGATCTCCGAGGAAGCCGCTCGTTACATCTAAACTATTAACGCAAAATCCTGGGTGCCATTTTCGAGCTATATACGTTGGCCTTTGATTATCTAATACCTGATACAAGTTGTATCTTGCAAAAACAAGTTAATTTTTTTTTAGAAGAAAGGTGGTTGCATCATCTTTAAGTAAACGCTTCAAAAATGTTTTCAGCGTAAAATTTTTTTATGGATATATGCTAACAAAGGCTCACCTCTATACCAATGGGGTAAAAGTTAGACCCTAACTGGCCCACTGACTAGGATCCCCATATAGTATAGTAGCCTCGTATTTCCATGAGACTGTGTAAAAATATATGTATCTGTAATAAAATCAGGCAATGAAAAAGTATTCTACCAGGAGTCTGTAAAATTATCAATGACTCTGACGTATAATAATACAAAGTTTTAAGATTCCACTCGATATTAACATTCAAACGTGCCTGGTATAATGTTTTCAAATATAAGCAGTCAACCAGTTAAGTTTTCATTGAACTGTTGATAAGTCCACGTGGACCAATGGCCAATGAAAACATCCAATATCGCTGTTATGACAAATCATAATGCGTTATCTTTTGTCGGTAGACGTATTCATACTTGGGGTAAGATTCATACATTGACTGAGCTTACGGAGTCATAAAATAAGGTGTTAGGTTTCGATCGTCCAGTGTCGAAGGCACGGGACGGGGAATACTTAGGTAGGCAAATTTTTATAATATTTTATTTTTAAATTGCCGACATGACCAACAGATTTTTGGGGAACAAGAATATTTTTAGTATACTTAACCAGAACTGCTACATCGTTCAGTTAATTTAGTTCAGTGTTTACGTGATTACGTTTTTATACGTTTGATACTTTTAAAATATTGCGTCCGTGGTGTGATAATAATTCTGTAGCTGAAAAGACAATGCAACCCTCTAATCAATTGGAAGATTTACAAAGGCGTGTAGTAAAACGTAAGCGACAGTTTTAATACCTTTCTGATGATGCCAAACGTATGCTGAAAAATGTTTATGTAGGACTGTGTACTGAATTGTCTAAATCAGAGGCAATTGCAGAATCATGTTTTTGAGCCAAAGAGTGCCCAAAGCAACCTGCTACAAAATTATAGGAGAAACATCTTCTTCTAGACAGAAGAGAAAGGATTATGGCAAATTCAGAAAAATAGAACCGCACTTAATTGAACCTATAACTAGAACAATATACAAAATGTATGCGGCTAATATTTTTCCAACTATTGAAAGCCTTCGAAGTGAATTAGTTCGAAAGGGCATTCTCTTATGTTCAGCAACAAAACTTCGATTATTTCTTAAAGCCAATAATTTTAAGTCAAAACTATAGACAAGCGCCAGACACTAATGGAAAGTACTAGAATAATTTCTTTAAAAAACAGTTATATCAGACAGATAACTGAGTATCAAAAAATGAAACGAAGTATTGTTTATTTAGATGAGACTCGGTATGATACTCACGACACCGTGAAAAAAAGTTGGGACAAATAATAACACAAAGTTTTTCAACTCACTACCGCCCAATAAAGGAAAGAGGATTATAATTTTACACTGCGTTGGAGAAAATGGATGTATCGACGATGCATTACTAATATCTGCAAAACAAATTAAAAACACGTTTCTGGATTATCATGACGATATAGAAAGTTCAATTTTTGAATCATGGTTTGAAAAATCTCTTCTTCTGAAATTACATAAACATAGTGTGATTGTCATGGACAACGCATCATATCATTTAAGATTAATGAAAAAAACTCCAAATAATAGTTGGAATAAATTACAAATTCTGGAATTTTTAACAATCGTAAAATAGTTTCGAAACACAAGATGTCGCTAGTGCGTCCGTATTCGAAGCCATGTTATTGTTGCTTCTTAAAAGACAGAAAATATTGATCTTTCACGTTGAGAACACCTTTGAATAACTGTTCTGATGAGACCTATTAGGTCGAAATACGTATCAACAGATACAAAGGCGCTGTTTGCGTGAAATCAAATATTTGCTGTCTTTTTCACTTTTTTCTGGAATTTTTATTCGCGGAAGATTTGTATTTTGAGGCATCTTATACTAAACAGCAATTGTTGGAGGTTGCTCATAGTAAACAGTACGAAAAGGAATATGTTGTTGACAACTGTCTTCGTAGTAACGGGCATACTATGCTTAGACTTCCTCCTTATTATTGTACATTGAACTCAATAGAGTTAATATGGGCTCAACTTAAAGGAAATATAAGGAGAAGAAACGTTGCTCCTACATTTTCGTCTACTGTTCTCCAGTTAATTAGAAGAGAAGTCACAAAAATCACAGCAACCAACTGGAAAAATGTAATAAAACATGTGCAACATGGCAACTAAAACCGTCACTGTCACAGTGGCAGTTGCCAAACTCGTCCGATACGTCTAAAGGTGGGAAACAATAAGTATAATGTAAATTATAGGTTTTTATCGCTCAATCTCCCACATCCACTAGTTTCATTTCTTTTTATCTAATATCGTACTGTGTTTTCCATCTTTTGCGTTATTCTGTCGGTTATTAGCGAGCTCATCACTGTATAGTTAAATATAAATGTACATTAAAACTTTTTAAAATACGTTTACCGATAATAGCCATTTCCTATTTATTACAATGACAGTAGTAGGTACTTTAAACTTATAATTTTTTAGGAATGAATGTAACTTAAATTGACTATTTCTTGTTGTGTTTTTTACAATACATAATTAAGACAGCATGGCTAATAATCTTCTTCTTCTTCTTCAGCCTTCATTTATCCAATGTTGGACATAGGCCTCCTCCAATTGCTTCCACGCTTCCCTCTCTTTTGCAATTCTCATCCACTGCTTTCCAGCTACAGCAGTTATATCGTCTATCCATCTCTTTTTAGGTCTTCCCACGCTTCTGTTTGTTTCTCGAGGTCTCCAGAATGTCACTTTATGAGACCATCTGTTGGTGTCTTGTCTTGCTACATGTGCTACCCATTGCCATCTCAATGTCGCTATTTTTCCCATGATGTCGGTTACTTTAGTTCTTCGACGTATTTCGGTGTTAGGAATTTTGTCTCTGAGGCTTATATTTAACATGACCCTCTCCATGGCCCCTTGAGTTACTCTTAATTGTTCTGCCATTTTTCTTGTTATTGCCATAGTTTCCAATTCATAAGTTGCAACTGGTAGTATACAAGTGTCATAGGTTTTTCGTTTTAAGTGAATTGGAAGCAAAGCAAAAGCAGCCCATGATAATTGTGTCCTTCTTTTAATTTCTAGGGTTTGATTTTCCTTTTCATTTTTAATTGCATGTTATAGATATATATATATATATATATATATATATATATATATATATATATATATATATATATATATATATATATATTGTTCTACCTTTTCTGTATTGATGTTGTCTATCGTGATGTTTTCTAGGCTGTTGCTTAATATCTTTGTTTTGTCGAGATTCATTTTTAATCCTATTTGATTCGATTTGTGATTTAAATCTTGTAGCATTGATTTTAGTTCATGGATATCTGTGCTTATTAGTACTATGTCGTCTGCAAAACGCAAATTGTTAAGATATTCTCCATCTATTTTTAATCCATTTTCGGTCCAATTTAGTTGTTTGAAAACATTTTCTAATGCCAAAGTAAATAACTTGGGTGAGCTGGTGTCGCCCTGTCTCACACCTTTGCCAAGGTCTATTTTCATAGTTTCCAGATCATCATCTATTTTACGTGAAAAGTAGCATCATCGTATATATTCTTAAGGAGGGCAGCATATCTTGAATCTACTCTGGCGACGTCCAATGCTGTTAAGAAAGCCCATTTCTCGATACTGTCGAATACTTTGTGATAATCGACAAATGCCAGATGTAGTGGTATGTTGTACTCTATTGTTTTTTCAATAATGGTCCGAATTGTTTGCAAGTGATCGATAGTGCTAAAACCCTTACGAAAGCCTGCTTGCTCCACTGGTTGGTATGCATCTAGTTTAGCTGTCAATCTATTTGTTATTATTCGGGTTAGTAGTTTGTAAAGGTGTGACAATAAGCTTATTGGTCGGTAGTTTTCTATATTTGCGGTGTCCCCTTTTTTATGGAGTAGAATGACTTCCGCATTTTTCTATGCCTTCGGTATTTGTCCTTCCAATAAGCATTTATTAAGTAATGCTCTTATTGCCTCTTCTAATGTAGTGCCTCCCATTTTTAGCATCTCTGAAGTAATTTTATCTTCTGGCTAATAATAAGGAACCAATTATTCAGCCGAGTACTACGAGTATTGGTAGACAAAATTTATTTTTGTAAATTATAATTTTAATCTCGAGTATTGATAATTATATATATTTTTTCTAATTAAAACAAAAAAGGTCACTCTGGGCAAACTTCATCATCGTGAGTAATAGCCATCATTACATGCTCTTTGAAGAATATACTATTATTAACAATGTTCTATATAGATATTATTATTTTACAATAAGTTCTGTTCAGTCGAGTCGATTAGTGTTATCACTCCCAAGATATATCACAGAAGTTAACAACACCGATATTTTTTATTTAAACTTTATAGAAAATGAAAATTTTTTGGTAAATAAAATTAAATAAAAGTAAAAACTTTTATTTAATTTAAAATTAGATATCTACGCTACTGTTTAATAAAGTAGTGCCCACTCTAACAGTGTTGCCATTTTACTAGTTTTTACTCGCTCGGTTCCTATAAATTTTCTCACGGAATTACGTGCCGACTATACATAGACCATCAATAAATTCAGAATTGATGAAACCCGAGCTTAAATGTAAAGTTTTGACGTGAATATGAGATAAAAGTTTTCACATGTATGCTCACTCGAGTTTTTGATTTTATTTTGTCTAATACTGAAAGTTGAAGGAAATAGTGCATTCCTCTAACAAATAATAATAAACCTGTCATAAAGTAACCTGTTGTAAAGGTAAAGAAAAATCTTAAAATAGTTTATACTTATGTTTATTCTATTTGATATAAAACTTAATATAAAACTTTTAATCACATAAGTGCATTTATGAAATCTATATGGAGCTTAAGTATTTTTTTATAGCTTCTGAATCCTTTTTTATCCAAGCTATGTTAACATCATTGCTTTCTAACACTTGCTGTACACATCTTTCGATCCATGAGTTTTTCTTGTTCGTAAAGAAATGCTGAATATCTTTCTTTTTCGATTCTTCAGCAAAATCTTGAGTAACTCGTTTAATAAGATTCTGAAGAAGCGTCGCTGCTGTAAACCTTTGTGTGATAATATTCCAATTTTCCTTTATGTAATTCCAAGTCAAATCACGTCCTGGTTTTGTTTGAGCAGCAGCTATCAATACAAAGACCGAATCTTGCGTTTTAACGTTATCCTAAAAAATAATACAAATACATAAATTATATATATATATATATATATATATATATATATATATATATATATATATATATATATAAAAATTTTTTTATTAAGATTTATTCATATTATTTTCTTTATTCTTTGATATTAAAACTATTTTTTAAATTTCACACTTTTCTTTAAGCAAGAGCAACCATTACAAATTAATATTGAAATAGAGCATTCGTCAAAATAAACAATATCAAAAGTGACCACTGTATTTATGTTTTAATATACATAATTTACATGTTCAAAAGGTGCATCTAAAGAGCGGTTGCTGTTGTTGTTGCTGAAAACAAGTTATTATGTTTTGTTGTAGTTCTAGAAAATTTTAAATACTGATTCCTTCAGCATGCCCCAAATTTATGGATCAGGTGTTGTTAGATCAGGTGGATGAGCTGGATATTCGAACTCTGTTCCACAAGAAATTATTCTGTTTTCAAAATGTTGTTCTGAAGCTATTTTCTTGTGGCATTTTAAATTAATTACTATTTGACTGGGAATAAGCCACAATTAAAGATAAAAATACGTTTATTGACGTTTCAATTTCCACTTCGGAAATCGTTCTCAAAATACAAACAGTAAATTAAACAAATTTTGTTTTTTGTTACATAGTGAAAAATTCTTCTAATTATTTAATTTTATCTGACTCATTTATATTGACAATTCAGACATACATTATGCATTTTAAAGTAGACGACTTTAAAATGATATTGCCAATATTGTTGAGTTGCGCTCCTGGGACGACTTTACTTATAAGATAGTTCATTCGATTACATGAAATCAACTTTAACTTGAGAATATCCGCCAGAAAAAAATCATAGCATGTAATTCGTCTTTAAAAAGACAAACACATGACATGATGACAGTAAAATTCTCCTGTTAGTGATACCATAGTAAATTATGAGGAAAAAAACAGGAAAAAAACCTCATAATACTATCCCGACATGGTAAGTATTTGTTCGTGCATTTAGTTTACCTTCAATAAACACCAAAATTCTGATTTTATATGTTATATTATATGTATTTTATATGTATGAATAATTCAAATGTAGTCCTAAAAGAAACGGATGGTAAAAAAAGAAAAATTAAAGAAGCGGCTCTAATTATGCTAAATGAGGCCAATTGTGTCGCAAATTCCTCGGCAGAATGTAGTAGGATCTGGTTACCAATATTGAAAGAGGAAGTTATTAATAAGAAAATACCAGTATTAGTAAGTCAGTAACATATACAGGATACATCATTTTTGTTTTTTAAATAATGAAATATATAAAATCAGAATTTTGGTGTTTATTGAACGTAAACTAAATGCACGAACAAATACTTACCATGTCGGGATAGTATTATGAGGTTTTTTTCCTGGTTTTTCCCTCATAATTTACTATGGAATCACTAACAGGAGAATTTTACTGTCATCATGTCATGTGTTTGTCTTTTTAAAAACGAATTACATGCTATGATTTTTTTCTGACGGATATTCTCAAGTTAAAGTTGATTTCATGTAATCGAATGAACTATCTTATAAGTAAAGTCGTCCCAGGAGCGCAACTCAACAATATTGGCAATATCATTTTAAAGTCGTCTACTTTAAAATGCATAATGTATGTCTGAATTGTCAATATAAATGAGTCAGATAAAATTAAACAATTAGAAGAATTTTTAACTATGTAACAAAAAACAAAATTTGTTTAATTTACTGTTTGTATTTTGAGAACGATTTCTGAAGTGGAAATTGAAACGTCAATAAACGCATTTTTATCTTTAATTGTGGCTTATTCCCAGTCAAATAGTAATTAATTCAAAATGTTAGTGAAGTAAGACTAGGGAGCGTATAGCTGTATGACTGGTTGCGCCATTCTGTCGAAACGTGTAAAATCAAAAGGTGTAATAATGTTTTCTCTGTAACGTTCTTGGTTAACCGTAACTTAAATAATCCCGTGCCCAGATGCAGAGCACCAAATGGTAACTTGTTCACTGTAGGGCAGTTCCTTTACAATGATACCTGGAAATTAAAATCCAAAAAATCGACTTGTTTGCCAATTGACAAACCATTAAGATAAATGTAACTTATTCATTCCTCAAGAAATCGAAATCTTCATACACTAGACTTAACTCTCGCCCCCAGTGAATTTCTGGGATAACCACCAAGAGATTTGAACAGTAGACGTGTGGATGTTTTACTGATATTCAGTTTATAAGCAGTACTTTGAAGACTTCGTTTTGGACACTATAAGATCTAATCAAAAACGTGTTCGTAATTATTGTTGGTAAGAACTGTTTTTAGACGACCGAGAGAACCATTGTGCTGACACAACACACTACCAGTGGTACAAAATTTCTCAAATATTGCTAACATTACACTTTTACTGGGAGCCGCCTTGTGAAATACTCGTCGATAATTTTCTGTCATTTGTTTTAAACTTGTGGGTATTATTCCATTCGTTTCCGTATGCACAGAAATATTGCTCTATTAAATACGCTAGCTCTTCAGTTGCGAGAACCATTTTCACGACGGTTTTAATAATAGAGCAGAGTAAATATGCGTTGCTAATTACTACAAAAAATAAACCTAATCAAATAAATCGGTACATAATTTAAACCTAATCAAATAATCGGTACAATAAAGTACCGATGTAATAAATTTTGCCCAGTTAATGGTATATTGTTGCTTTTAGCACGGAAGTGCAATAAAAAATTCTTATTTTGCGAGTCCTTTATATAAAATCGGTAGAAATATTTAATTTTATAAAAAAAAAGGTAATGGTTTTATTAGAAAACAGGGTTTGGATTAGCTGAGCTGTGTGGGGATATGTTCAGATGGTGCACGTGCAATGACAAGGAAAGATGGAGGCGTTGTAGCAAGAATTAAAGCAGTCATACTGAAATGTGTCTTTATTCACTGTAGCATACACAGACAAGCTTTGGCAGCCAAAGAGATGCCACATGAATTAATGTAAGTCCTGAACGAAGCGTTTAAAGCAGTAAATTTTATTAAGTAAAGTGCATTGAATTCAATACTATTTCGGCTTTTGTGTTCCGAAATGAAAAGTATTCATGACATGTAGTAGTGTGATCCTACATATAGACGTTAGGTGACTTTCAAGAGGAAAAGTTTTATCTTGATTATTTGAGCATCGCTTCAAAGTTTAAATATTACTAGATAAACAAAATCATATACTGAAAGACAAGTTTACTGACGAAATTAAGTTATGCCAAATAGTATATCTCAGTGATATATTTACCAGACTAAACGATTTTAATTTGGGTACAACGCAAACACACAACTCGCTTTATTATTATTGATAAGGTACGATCGACCATAAAGAAGCTTTAACTTGTACAAACAAGTCAAGTACAAACATTTTCCAATACTTAAAAGCTTCGTTACAGGTAATGAAATTAATATTAATTCTGAGGTATTGCTACGTTGTAATGTTCACTGTAATAAATTAATCAATTAATAAGTACTTCACAGAAAATTATTCTGAATTTGAATGTCTACGCAATCCCTTTCTTGTTGAGTCATCGACCAAGGATTTAAGTGCAACTATAGAAAAACTGATTGATTTGTCGTATGATGGTGGACTAAAATTAGACTTTAAGGAATATGACCTTGATGAATTTTGGGCAAGAAGGAATTTTTATTTCCTTTCTCTTACAAAACTTTTGACAATATACCTGTGCGAGAATGGATTTTCCACAATGCTAATTATTAAGAACTTATACAGAAACAAACTTAATATAACCTTCAACTATATCTGAGTAACATCGAACCAGATAGTAATTAGTTAAGTCGAAATATTCAGCAGAATCTTCTCACTAATAGTTTGCTATTAAAACTGCCTGTATATAAAATTTAAAAATACAACATAAACAATTTTACTCTTGCTGAATTTCATTTTCACTAAATTATAGTTAATTAGATTACCTAGCTAGATATGTATTTCAGTTAGGTGATACCAAAAATAATAAAAACAATTTTGTGCTACATGACTCAAAAAGATTGAGAACCACTGCTCTAAACGGTATTGTATTATGTACTTAATATTGCGGTAAGTCTCAGAAATTCGCCTTTTCTGCCATGTAAAAGTTTTGGTATTTCGTTAGTATTTTTAGTTTTGTTACTTTTAGGATAGTTTTAGTTTTACAGTAGGGGGGGGGGGCTTTAGCCGCGAATATCATTAATAAGTATAATAAAAATTATATGAAATTATATGTAAATGTAAAAATTATTATATGTAAATAATATAAAGAAATCCAATTCGAAAACTCTTGTACGTAACGATGTAATTATTTCTATACTTACAGACATTGCAAATTCAAGTAAAGCTTTGATTAATTCCTCATTTGTAGTATGACCCAGAGCAGCGGATATTCGCATTTTTTCCTCATTTAAATCTGTTTTATTATATAACTGTATCAAAGACTGAAACTCAGCTATTCCACCTGAAGAAACTACGACATTATAACAAGCAGATCGGATATTAGCCGGCAGTAATTCCGTTGATGCGACGTGTCTATCAAATCTTAATCTGGCTTCCTTTATTACATCATCGTCTTTTAGGGATCCAAAGTGATCCAAAAGTTTGCTTCTGAATAGAGTATCTATGTGTGTATCGGTTGATTTGGGACTCCAACCAACTGAACGATATATCTTTAACAGCAAGTTATGTTGGAACTAAAAATCAGAAACAATATTTTAATAGAAAAATAAATACTTCAATTATCTCAACCTTACGTAAATATGACTAAAATTAGAATTTTCTTTAATACAACAGGTACTTAGTAATTTGTATGTATTAAAAATCATATTTTTCAACCAAAATAATCGGCAGTTAGTTGATAACACAGTTGTGTTAGTGTCGTCTCGTCGGTAAAAATGGTCGGCACCTCCGTACTTGTCTCGTACGCTGTGCAGAGGGCTTCGGCCGTCGAAGGATCCTCTGCTTTGAATCCATTTTGGTATAGATTTTTCAACGTTAGTTGTCGCTAGTCATAATATATATTGTATTTATAGTAAATAAGAATAGGGATAAATATTTTTTGACTAAATCGACAAAATCCTTAAATCGAGAGTAATAAAGACAATATTTACCCTCAACAAAAACTTTCATCTCTTGTCCGATCAAGCAAAGAGAACATTGCACATAAATATAAACAAAAAATAAAACAAATAAACATTAAGTATAGATAAAAATAAAAAAGTGGGCGTTAGATTGTTTGAACATTATATTGACAAAAACACACTATTAAAATTCAAACTGAATATTTTAAATGATTTAAAACATATAAATTTGTTAATAAATAACTAATAAAATGTATTTATTAATAGTAAAAATTATTAAATGACATAAGTTTAATTTGACTTAGCACTGGGCCCTGCTTCTATTTCATTTCGATGTCGAAATTTAAAAGCGACTACGCCATGACAGTCGCCATCGCTAGCGATTCTCATTCATTTCGATTTTAGTTAAGAGTGGTGATATTTACTTTATCATTTTGACACTGCTCAGAATTTGGGTTGGCCGTCTTGTTTATTGGCTGCACGCTTCACATGCACAACGCTTGTTAAATGTTTGTTTTGTTTACGTTACGCCTTTTGTTTCTTGTTTGAGTTGTTAAATTTTTAGTGGCCATTCTCAATTATTATATTTTGAATTAAAAGAAAATGGATGGAGAGGCTGTCGGTGATGTTGGCACTAAATTGTTAGTGGACCAAAAAGAAATTATGGTGGCTTTTGACTTAGTGGTTGTATTCTAATATATTTTTAAATTTACTGCAGCTTAGTAATACTTATCCTAAACATTTTGGGTCTCCTAGAGACATAAACACCCTCCTCCAAATATGGTTCCAATATCCTTATCAAATAATTTGCAGCTTGTTTATTAAGGCGGAATTGCTGCCTAAATTGAGCATCACTTAGTGAAAAAGGATTTTGGGTATCCCGTAACATTCTTCTTAAGGCCATATGACACTATCCATTTTCTTGTATAATTTCTTAATCGTTTCTGATATAACAAAAAAACGGATAGTATCATACAAGCGTATAGTTCTTGTATCAGAAACGATACAAAAATTTGTGTCAGCTGCAGTTTCTTGTACAAGAAATGCGCCAATTTGTGCACAAAAACGTAAAACTTATGTCATAATGGCGGCTAGAGGAGAACTTTGATATACAATTAGACCAAACAGACATCAGAGAAAAGTGCCCACCAGGCATCAACAATAACCAAGATTAGAACAGCAGTAGCCAATTTGAAAAACAATAAATCACAGGGATTGGTTCAAATAGCATCGGAACTACTGAAAGTAGGAGAAGATATAGGTATTACTAAAAACAATACATAACCGCTCTAAAAATTCGTGATGAGTTTAAAGATTATTTTATATCTCCAAATAAGAGAGTAGAATTTCAAGAGCATGGCATTTAAACACATAATTTGTAAAAAGAACAAATAAATTATTACAACCAAATTATTTATTATTTCTATCTTCCATTACAGCCTGTTGAATATCTTCAAAAATTGGTGTTTCCAATTTAGTTTTAATATTGGGACATTGTATTTCTTTAATTTTTGCACCACAGTATTTAAAAAAATAATCAGTAGCATCTGGCTTGGGGCCCCCAGGTACTGCAGTTCTATTTTTATAGGTGTCAAAATTTCGACCAATTATGTGCCGAATCACATACCATTTCTCATAAAACGCAGCCATATTAATACTTTTGCCTCAGTTTTTCTTGCAAAAATCAAACAAAACACAACACCGCCTAAACTGAACCTAATCTCACTTCTCCCAGTCCAGCCAGTCATGGCACATTAATTTCGACTCGAAATGAAATGTCAACCACTTTCTTGAAGTTGAAATTAATTTCGATAAATCGAAAAGTAGTGACGTCCTTCGATTAGTTCAGCTGAAATCCACTAGGCTCGCAAAGTCGCATTTCGACGTCGCCATATTAATTTCGACATGTTTTGAGTCGAAATCTCAATTAGAATCAGGACCCTGAACAACTCACAACAACAACAAACTCGCGCACCTAAACTATCTGCTGGTGCTGTTGTCAGATGAAATAAAATTGGAGAAGTTATAACTTACTGTAGTCTATATTGGTTTTAGGTACCATTTACCAAAATAACAAAAAAAGGTGGATGTGTAAACAATGTATGGTGCAACAAATGGCCATGGAACATACCGAATTGCATCCAATAATAGTTGCTTCGGTTCAAAATGCTTCTGCTTCCTTTTCTTTATCAGCAACTCTGCTTGTTCATTGGCAATTTCATACCTCTATGAAAGGTTGTCACTCTATCTTTTTTATCCGATATTTCTTCTACTGATTGGTGATTTATCTCTTGCTACTTAGACCATTCAGATATCCCCCATTCTGCTTATGTGAGCATTCCACTCCTTTTTTTTCTGTTTAGTGTCCATTGATTTATATACTGTACGTTACATTTTCTTCTAATTTCTTTACTCCTCTTTCGATCTCTCAGCGTATATTCTGTAATTCTTCTCAGTACACTCATCTCTGCCTTTTTTAATGGGTTGTGGCTATGTCGAGTCTTGTTTCTGATGCATATGTTATTATTGGTCTTACACTGGCTATAAATTCTAGATCTTAAGAGAGCTAACTAATTGTACTTAAAGCGGGGTTTACACTGCGAGAACCCCATAAAAGATACCCTCATAATTGGTCTTGTTTCTGGTGAGGCCAGCCTCAAAGTGCATTTTTTGCCTACTAATTCCCAAACCTTCTTTTAAGTTGAATCAACTCGAAAGCAAAGCTTTTAAGCGATAATGAACACAATGTAGGTTGGTCTGATAGTCAAGTGGGTCAGGTGAGCGAAGCACACTTACTTCACTGCCAGTGGCCAAGTAGATTGAGGATGAAAACTCCAGCAAAAGAACACAAAAAGTTTAACGTAGTAGTATAAAATTCAAATGTTTGTGGCTTACACTAAGAATACTCCGGTGTATCGGATCCACCTGTTGTATCGACAGGCAGTACGGCACGAGAAGATAGAACCTTGCGGATCGAATTAGAAAAAATAAAATAGCTTACATGATGGACATTTTCACAAATAGCATGACGTATGATTAACTCTATGGCCAGAGATAGAATGACGCTATTTTCAGAGAACGATGTTCCTTGCCCATCTGAATTAAGCTGAATCCCGGCTAATCGTATGATTAGATCTGACCAATAAAAAAACGTTTTATAAGACGCATTTTAAAAACAACGGCAAGTGTTTTTCTTCGAAGATTTGTAATACGTAGACCTTATACAGGATGGAATTTAAAATACGTGAAATAAAACTTTATACATTTTTTTAAAAGTATTTTTAGAGCACAAAACACAGTATATTTAGCCAATAATAAGGTGTAGTGGTGAAGACTAATTAAAAAAAGAATTTATATCTTTGTATATGGGTATATTTAAAAAACCCTTAAAAGGGCTACATTGATTAATACAAACGTTTTCGGAATAACAATTCCATCATCAGGTTTACAAAGTATAAGGTTCACATGCCTGAGCCACCAAAATATGAGGGTAAACACCCTTTAAAATTTGTGTTGTTACAAAAGATTGTACATAATGTTATTAAGAATATGTGATGTTCAAATTAATTTTGGCTTCAGGTAACATATACCCATGGTTTGAGTTCCAGTGTCCGGAGAGTAAACCTCTTCAAACGGACTACAGCTGGTAAGTTACCAGCTGTAATGTTTAATAACATTATGTACAATCTTTTGTAACAACACAAATTTTAAAGGGTTTTTACCCTCATATTTTGGTGGCTCAGGCATGTAAACCTTGTACTTTTTAAACCTGATGATGGAATTGTTATTCCTAAAACGTTTGTTTGTATTATTCAATGTAGCCCTTTTAAGGGTTTTTTAAATATACCCACATACAAAGATATAAATTCTTTTTTGTGATACGTGGTATACAGCCAGCTACAGGAATTTTTTCCTTGTGGATTTTATTTTAATTAAAAAACTTGTTAAACGTAAAACCGAATTCACGTACCTTTCTGAATAATTCACTGCTATCGGTATATTGTATCAAAGTTTCCAGTTTCGAGAGTATATTAATAATAGTCATCCAAACATTTGAGTCCGATTCGTTCTCATACACTTTTAAAAACTTTAAAAGCGATACTGTGTCCGTATAACCTGCTTTAACTAATGCGAACATGTCTTCGAGTAAGCCCAACCTAAAAAAAGAATTACTGAAGAGTTTATAATCAAAATATTTCCCCCGAATCGAGGCAAAGATACGCCAATTCACGAATTTCTTCATACTTTGCGTTTTTTTAGTCTACAGTAATATCTACATAATTTAATAACACTTGAGGAACTGATCAGTAATAAACAAAACTGCAACATATTTATTGTTATGACTGTAATTAATGCTGAACATTCAGATCTTTTAGCTATTTACCACCATTTATTATACTGACTGTGTAATGAGAAGAAATTTAAAACTGAGTTTCAACATATTTTGGTATTAACCTTTTTGGTAGGACTCCACCAAGTACTTTTGTCAAAGTTTATTCATCATTATGGTTAAAAGCCATATTACATACCTGTCTAAAGGTGGCATAGTTCGATTTTTGATATCGTTTACAAATTTTTTCAACATTTCTTCTGAATACTGAGTTCTAAAGAAACCAATAACACCAGGATTAATTTTTATCCAATCTGTTTCCTTAACCCCAGGAACTAAAATTTCAGTAGACTTTGTATTAAGAAGTAACTTAGCCACCTCACCATTAGGATTTCGGCTGGAAGAGATAGATATTGGAACCATCCATTTGAATTCTTCGGGAGATGTACGAATTGTTGACATAAACTTCTCTTGGGACAGTTTTACTATGAAGTCACCGGTTTCATCTAAAAATTAATAAAAAATTTAATAGCTGTCCAAGAATTTAAAGTTTATTACTACTCTAATTTTAAAATTTCAGAATAAACTGTTAACGCTAATGAAGACCTTTCAAAAGAGGTGTCAAGTGACCTCGGCTTGTATTTAAAAAAAATCGTCGATTACGTCATTATGCCAACACTAGTATACTTTCTTCTTCTTAAAGTGCCCTCTCCTCAATGGAGGTTGGCTACTACAATTTTAAACTCTTTTCTATCTTCAGCTGTTCTTATTAGCTGTTCAAAATTTAGCCCTGTCCATTGTCGGATATTTCTGAGCCACGATAGAATTTTCCTTCCTAGGCCTCTCTTTCCCTCGATTTTTCCTTTCACTATAATTTGGGCATATTGGTACTTATTATTTCTCAGTATGTGGCCTAGGTATGATGTTTCTCTAACTTTTACTGTGGTAAAAAGTTCTCTTTCCTTGCCTATTCTATGCAGCACTTATTCCTTTGAGGTATGCAAATAATAATAATAATTTATTATACAAAAAAAGCATTAAACTACTGACAATAATTTCCTTGTTTTAAAAAATTTTGCTCTAACACGAAAAAATGATTTTGTAAACAAATCGGTTTGTTTGTTAAATAAAAAACTCTGTATTATATGTAGAAAAGTTTTTCTACATACAAATAAAAACCAACTTCACAATTTAAAAAAACAGTAAATTCCTGGCCCGATAAAAAAGTTTTCTTGCAAAATTTGTCCCCAAATATACTGAAATGAAATTCGTTCGTTCGTCTCCATCAGCTAAATATCAGGATCATATTATGATTCTCGAAACCACGTCAAATAAGGAAATTAACTTACATTTATAGCTCCAATATAATCCTCAAAATATATCTCTTCAAAATATATCATATACCACAACATTTCCACGAACAAACTTTTTTCTTTTTTAACTATATATTTAATTAACTTTCCGTGTAAATTAGAAAGTTGCTTACACTAGTTACTATTTAAATTAAACAGATGTCTTTTACGAAATTATCTATCGAAAAACCATTATGTTCTTTTCTTTACAATCAGTCTCAACATTCCTAAATTGTTCGAAAAACATCCATTGTCTTCCTACTTTCCCGTCGACAAAAGAGAATACCACAACTTAAGAAAGAAAAGAGAATAATCACTAAAAAAACTCCCCTCAAATAAAGAATACAGTCGCTCTGAAAAACAATATCGAAGAAAAAAAATTGAACAGTCGATGAAAATAGTCAAAGAAAACATGTTGCCCATATTTGAAAACATGTATACCTCTACAGCAGAAAATTTGCTGTCGCAAATAAAAAAACGCCCTTATCCAGGAAATGCAAACAATGCCCTTTATCAGCTAAATTGCGCCTGATGCTAAGGAACAGTCCAAAACAAGAAATACCTCAACTAAATGGTAGTTAAGATACAACGATCCATACAAAAAGACGCGATTAAGAAGCTACGAGACCTCAAAAAAACAATAACATCAGAAGAGTAAATAGTATATTGGAGAAAAACGAAATCCGTATTGCAAAATGCCGCGAAAAGCATTATAAGTGATAGTGTTTAAAAGCCACAGGATTGAACATGACAATGCGAACGAGGCATTGAACGCTCAAATAAAACGATTTTACAAAAGGGATCAAAACTCGCACTTGAGTCATACCTGTCTGGAAATAGACGAGCAAAAAACCAAAACTGAGACCAACGACATAATAAACAAAATTAAGCAATAACGTGCTCCTTTCCACCAAACAACTTTTCTATCAAAGATGATAACGGAACTCTACTCAATTCTAAAGGAGATATATTACCCAGGTGGACAGAATATTGTGGAAGATCGATGATGGAGAAGAGCACAGACGCCCCACCACAACAAGAGGATACCAGTTCTAAGATTGAACCTGAAGTACTAAAATGTGAAGTTAAAACAGCGAGGCAAAAAAATTATAAACGCGCTGGTACTGATAATATATAGAGTGGCCCAAAAGTCTGAAAGCGGCCAATTATCTCGTAAATTGCTAGTCATAATTGTACAAAATTTAAAGTACACCTATTTTGGGATACGCAGATTCCATATTTAAGATATCCAATGTTGCCAGATTTGCCGCTTCTCTTATATTATTAGTAACTTTGGTTTTTTAAATTCATCACCCTGTATATTCAGTCATTATTGGAATCTCCTATTCAATACAAGTTCAACCATATGTAATAGTTATGATTTTATGTAGTCTGGAAGGTCTTAAATACATAAAACAGTGCAAAATATATAGATTTTAATAAATTTAAATATTTAAAAAATGTAAAACGCTTTGATTTTGACATTTTTTCACCATTTACATTATTAACTAAAACTGACAGTAGTTGTGTTTCGAAAAGTTCTGCAAGAAAAAGATCTTATTGTGAAGTAGCCAACTTGTTCAATGATACTTTCCCAAACTGTTCTCCTATTCATAAGGCGACGATACAAAAAACTGTAATGCGATTTGAGGAATCTGGAGAAGTAAAGATACTGGTCAGGTAGACCGAAAAGAGTTATGAATGACACAAAACTTTACATATAATGCAAAGTTTTGTTGAAGATCCACATACATCCTTAGGCAGGGTTGCACAAGTACATGATGAAGGTCGTTCTTCAGTCTTACGTGTATTACATAAGAATAAATTTAAACCATACAAAATTAACTTATTACAAGAATTAAGTGAAGATCACTTCGATCGTAGATTAGAATTTACTGAGGTAATGATGAATTATGAGAATATGTTTTTCCGATGAAGCAATCTTTACACTGTGTGGAAGTGTAAATTGACACAATTCAAGGTACTGGAGTGACGAAAATCCACACTGGATGCGTGAAAACCATACTCAAAGACCACAAAAATTAAATGTATGTATTTTGAAATGAAATTGTACCTACACTGAGAAACTTGTTTGGGGCCAATTTTAATCAGATATGGTTTCAGTAAGATGGAGCTCCAGCTCATTTTGGTGTAAATGTTCGGCGTTATTTAGATGATATATTTCCCGGACGATGGATTGGTAGACGAGGTAAAATTGAATAGCCTCTACGTTCAGCCGATTTTAATCCTAAAGATTATTTTTATTGGGGATATTTGAAAATTTCAGTTTACAAAACTAAACCAGCAAGTCTCGCAGAGTTAAGGCAACGGATTATCGATGAATCTCGAATATTTTTTAGACAATCATGAAGAAATGTAGTATACATATTCTACCATCGACTAGGGTACTGTCCACTCACAAATGGAGCACATTTTGAACACTTGATAAAGTGACCATTATGTTAAAAAATGTTGTTATCTATAAATTATTACATTTTAATGTAGTTGAAAATAGTTAGTATTAAAAAAATAATTGAGACAATTAGGCGTTGCCAGACTTCTGTTTTATGTATTTAAGACCTTCCAGACTACATAAAATCATATGTGTTACATATGGATAAACTCGTATTAAATAGGAGATTCCAATAATGACTGAATATACAGGGTGATTAATTTGATAAATCAAAGTTACTAATAATATAAGAGAAATTGCAAATCTGGCAACATTGCAAATATCAAATCTGGAATCCTCAAATGAAACCAAAAATAAGTGTACCTCAAATTTTGTAAAATTTCGAATATAATCGACCACCCGTTCTGGCTTTTGTAGATTTTCATAAAGTCTTTGACACGGTAGAATTTGACAAAATGCTGGAGGCACTATAAACTACCGATATACAAGGTTAATTTACACTACAGACAAAAACGCAACTATGTCGGCGAAACTACATGAAAAGACGAATCACATCCCAATCGGCAAAGGAGTCCGACAGGGTGATACCTTATCTCCTAAACTGTTTACCGCAATACTAAAATATGCTTGTAAAAAACTTAACTGGGAAGAGAAAGGCCTGAACATTGAAGGTAGAAGATTAACAAATTTAAAATTCGCAGACGATATAGTTTTGTTTTCGGAGAATCTCAAGGAGATATGTACAATGCTATATGAACTTATGATAGCTCAGAGGAAAATGGAAAGATCAATGCTAAGTATATCACTTCGTGACCGAGTTCGAAATGAATACTAAGACGAAGAACAGAAGTTACCGATGTAATTTCCCGAATTGCCACACTAAAATGGAACTGGGCCGGACACGTCGCCCGAATCAGTGATGAAAGGTGGACGAAGAGATTGCTTGAGTGGAGGCTAGACAAAAGAAGTAGAGGAAGACCCCCTACACGATGGACTGACGATCTCAAGAACATGTCAAGAAATTTGATGAAAAGTGCTCAAGACAGAGCACAATGGACAAAAATGAGGGAGGCCTATGTCCAGCAGTGGACGCAAATGGCTGGATGATGATAAACGTTAAGAAGACAAAGCTTATGATAATTAGCAAGAAAACGATAACAGATCAACCAATCCCCTGTAGAAAGAGTGACGCACTACAACTACCTCGGACCCAAATTTATGAAGAATGGACCAACAACCAGGAGATTAGAGCACGCATCGGAAAAGCTAGATTCACCTTTAATCAGATGGGGGCCTTCTTCAAGAGTCACAACCTCTCTTGATACAAAAGTAAGAATGCTGCGATGCTACGTCTACTCTGTTCTTTTTTATGGTGTTGAATCGTGGACCTTGAACGAAGATATGTGCAGAAAACTGAAAGCATTTGAGATGTGGTTATATCGGAGAATGCTTAAGATTCTGTGAACTGGCCGAGTCACAAATGAGGTGGTCCTCAGAAGAATGAATAAGAACCGAGAGGTACTGACCACCATCAAATCTCGAAGGTTACAGTTCTTCGGACATATTATGCGAAATGAATCCAGATATGCTCTCCTTCAATCCATCCTGCAAGGACAAATATTTGGAAAGCGAGGTCCAGGAAGAAGAAGAATATCTTGGTTAAAGAACCTCAAAATCTGGTTCAATACAATATCTGTGCAGCTTTTCCGCGCTGCTGCAGATAAGATAAAGATGATGATCG